AGCACTTTGGGAGGCCAAGGTGGGTGGAACACCTGAGGTCAGGAGTTCGAGATCAGCCTGGCCAACATGGTGAAACCCCATCTCTACCAAAAATACAAAAATTGCTGGGCATGGTGGCAGCCACCTGTAATCCCAACTACTCAGGAGGCTGAGGAAGAAGAATCGCTTGAACCTGGGAGGTGGAGGTTGCAGTGAGCCAAGATCATGCCATTACACTCCAGCTTGGGCGACAAGAGAGAAACTGTATCTCAAAAAACAAACAAACACCCATCATGTCAGTGATGATGGCCTTGAAGGAAAATGAAACTCTCTGGCTTGGGGGCCAGAACCAACCTCAGATACTTTTCAATATAAGGAATTAATTGGTATGAAGAGATAGGGTTTAACTCAGAGCCAGAATGACATGACAAACAACTGATCAGGCAGCTAATCCATGCATGAGGACAGGGCAGGCACACAGCTGTTCCAACACTTAAGACACCTGTTTCCCTCAGACATCTGCCTTTGCAGAGTTCCATTACTCATTACCAGCTTTGAAAAATGAACTACATTAGCATCCCACACTTGGGAAGTGATAAATCTTCCTTTAACTTTTATTATTTTTTTTTAATTGAAATTTTTATTTCTTTAGAGACAGGGTTTCACTCTGTTACCCAGGCTGGAGTGCAGCTGTGCAATTATAGCTCACTGCAGACTTGAGCACTTGTGCTCAAGTGATCCTCCTGCCTCAGCCTCCCAGTAGCTGGGACTACAGACACACACCACCACGCCCAGTTAATTTTAATTTTTCGTAGAGATGAGGTCTTGCTATGTTGCCCAGGATAGTCTCAAATTTCTGGTCAAGCAATCCTCCCACCATGGTCTCCCAAAGTGCTGGGATTAGACGCATGAACCACCCTTTAGTTTTTCTTCTAGGAGAACTAACTACATTGACCAGTCTTAAATCTGATTTTTTTTTTTGAAACTGAGTTTCACTCTCGTCACCCAGGCTGGAGTGCAGTGGCATGATCCTGGCTCACTGCAACCTTCGCCTCCCAGGTTCAAGCGATTCTCCTTCCTCAGACTTCCAAGTAGCTGGGATTATACGCAGCTGTCACCATGCCTGGCAATTTTTGTATTTTTGGTAGAGATGGGGTTTTACCATGTTGGCCAGGCTTGTCTCAAACTCCTGACCTCAGGTGATCCACCCACCTTGGCCTTCCAAAGTGCTGGGATTATAGGTGTGAGCCACCGTGCCTGGCTTAAATCTGACTTTAAAAAAAAAAAAAAAGAAAGAATTGGGAGGCAGTAGTAAAAAAAACTCTATCACTAAAAAGGTGATTGATAACTCAGTGTGATCATCACGTCATGCAGGTAGGAGCTAAACTAGGAACTGATGCTAGGTGGTTTTCAGAGCCCATAAGCTACCTGTCATTGACAATCCAGACACTGGGTTTAAACTCTTTGGTGGACTTAACAAGGAGCTGAACAAAAAATAAACCACCAAAGCTGGGGAGGCTGGGTATTAAGTTTGGATTTGAAGACTAGTATTTCACTTATCCAGCATAAGGGAATCCAGCATCTTTCTACCGTATAGTACAAGGCAATTGATTTTCAAGGAATTGAAAATTTTCTATTTAAAATTTGTTTTCTGCATTCTCAGGAAATGAAAAGGGGGAAAGTGATTGTTTCCCTCTTACAAGTAAAGGACCTGTCACTTGGAAGAAGGGGCTTCTCACAGGCCTGCAGGATTTTAGTTAGGCACAATATTCTGGTTCTAGACTACATGGGTGGTTTGTGGGTGAGAACAATGGCCTTGGCTCAGTGAAATTTTACGGAAGGACCAGCCTGTCTCTGGACTCTGTGAAGTGTCTTGTCTAGGAAAACATGACACATATACCCATAGGCTGATGCCTTCCAGGATAACAGCGTCTGCTTTTCCCACAATACTTTCGTTTGCCTCAGGCAAGGCAGAGCATGATCCCTGTTTACAGTGGAGGAAAGTAAGGCTCAGTGAGTGTCCTGTTCAGCAGTACAATTATTAAGTAGTCAGTTTTCTTTGGGTAGCTCCTTAACTATGAAGACATGACATCTCTAGTTCTGGGCTTGAAGTCCAAGCACTTTACTTTAAATAGGTTCCTAATTTTTAATTCCACCAGAATTTGGGCTACTAAGACCATTCCATGGAAAAGATGGGCTGGGGTCATATGTTGAAAGAAGCCACTCCTTGCTTTAGATATTACCCAAAAGGCTTCTTCGGCCTGCCTTCGGCAAGACATTCAAAGACTTGGAGGCTATACATAGGAAGGAAACCAGACTATATTCATATCCAGCACCTTCTGTTTTTCTCATTTGCCTGGAGGAGGTCAGGCTTTGAATCAGAAATGCTCTGACCTAGGAGGCTCACAGAGACTGAAAAATAAAACAAAACAACAAAAACAAAATCTCCAAGGTGCACATTTGAAGAAGGAAACTTAGGTCATTAGTAACTTAGGTCATTAGTACTGCAGTAAATCCCAAAGACCAGCTGCCTGGATACAGGCTGGCTGATGCCACTCTGGGTGGTATTCATAGCCACCCTGAATAACTCATCTATAAAATTAGTCAATTTCTAGCCTCAGTCCCCAGATCTCACAAGTATGCCCTCAGCAGAAACACAACTTCTATTTTATGAGGTCTTCCCACACCAGAGGCTCCAGTGGCTACGTTTCATTCCTCTTTCATCTTAGGTACCACACTGTGGGGGTCACAATGGGGAGAGAAGGCCAGTGGGACACCCTCTTCCTTTTGGCAAGAAGGATGAAGGGGGAGCCGAAGCAGGTGATGACTTTGCCTCCAGGGCCTACTGTTTATTAATCCTTATCATTATCCAGGGAGATTGCTTAAAGCAAAAAAAAAAACAAACCAAAACCAGGAGCCACATCTATTTCCCAAGGGCTTGTCTGTAAATAAAGTCAGAGGAATTCTACATTGGCTTCAAGATAATTTTCACTCCTGGTTTCAGTATTACACCCTGCATTTTATTCCTTCTGAATCCAAACTGATGACAGGAGAGGAGACCAGAAGTCTGAAAAACCCAAATTGGTTTTGTGAAAGTTCTAGTCTACATATTCACAAATCTGCTCTTTTTTGTACCAAACAGCCCATCTTCTCTTAGGGGTAGAAAGTGTGCCTTTCCTACGTCCCAGCACTTTCTAGATACAAATATATTTAACTGTGATCACATTCATTGGTTTGATCTATTGTATACATGCATCTCTTCAACTGTGATTCACTTTATGAAATCAGGCCAAATGGCTTCATAACAGGAAGAGACTCCCTGACGTTTTTAGTAGGTTGTTTAAACCTGTTTCTTTTCTGGCCTTCGGGAGGCAAAGGGAAGCAGATTAGGTGGGCATTCTGGAGAAGGTGGTCTGTTCTGGAAGCATCCGATACAGACCTTGCGAGCACTCTTCCACATGTTTTTCATGTAGGCATAGGTCACTTGAGGGTGAACTGTGGGCAGAGGATGGTCAAGTTGCCGAGATGGATCAACTCCCAGGAGCAACACTAAGGTTTTATGAGCAAGAGCCTTAAAAACAAGAGACAGTGGGTTACAGACAGAACTGTTCAGCCTAGGGGCACCATGGGCCCACTACCTGTCCACGTGGGTGGGTAGGGTGTCACTCACCAGCCTGCCACTCTTGCCGCACAGGCTTGCATACTTGAGCCAGGTTCTCATGTCCTCATGAGGGCTGACCACAAGGGACCGCACCATAAGGATTTTCTGCCAGTCCTCCACGATACGCTGGCAGCCCTGGAACATTTGGAAAGGAAGATTAGATATGTCTTCTGATACATTTTTTGTTTCTGAGGCAGAGTCTTGCTCTATTGCCCAGGCTGGAGTGCAATGGCACGATATCTGCTCACTGCAACTTCCGCCCCCTGAGTTCAAGTGGTTCTCCTGCCTTACCCTCCCCAGTAGCTGGGATTACAGGTGCCCACCATCACACCCAGCTAATTTTTTTGAGTCGGATTCTTGCTCTGTCACCCAGGCTGGAGGGCAGTGGTGCAATCTTGGCTCACTGCAACCTCTGTCTCCCAGGTTTAAGCAATTCTCTACCTCAGCCTCCCAAGTAGCTGGGATTACAGGTGCCTGCCACTACACCTGGCTAGTTTTTTTTATATTTTTAGTAGAGACGGGGGTTTCACCATCTTGGCCAGACTGTCTTGAACTCCTGACCTTGTGATCTACCTGCCTCGGCCTCCCAAAGTGCTGGGATTACAGTCGTGAGCCACTATGCCTGGCTGCTAATTTTTTTTTTTTTTTGAGACAGAGTTTTGATATTGTTGCCTAGGATAGAGTGCAATAGTGCAAGCTCAGCTCACTGCAACTTCCGCCTCCTGGGTTCGAGTGGTTCTGCCTCAGCCTCCTGAGTAGCTGGGATTACAGGCACGCTCCACCACACCCAGCTAATTTTTGTATATTTAGTAGAGATGGGGTTTCACCATGTTAGCCAGGATGGTCTTGATCTCTTGACCTTGTGATCTGCCTGCCTTGGGCTCCCAAAGTGCTGGGATTACAGGCATGAGCCACTATGCCCAGCCCACGCCGAGCTAATTTTTGTATTTTTAGTAGAGTTGGGGTTTCAACATCTTGGCCAGGCTGGTCTTGAACTCCTAACCTTGTCATCCCGTCTCAGCCTTGCAGAGTGCTGGGATTATACGCGTGAGCCACCACGCCTGGGCTTTTTTTGTATTTTTAATAGAGATGATGTTTCACCATGTTGGCAAGGCTGGTCTCGAACTCCTGACCTTAAGTGATCCACCCACCTAGACTCCCAAAGTTCTGCGATTACAGGCATGAGCCACGGTGCTTGGCCTTCTGATACATTTTAAGTTCCCTGCAAGCCACAGCCAAATCCACAGTGAAACACAAAGATTTGCTGATAGAATCTCAACTTTCTCAGGTTAAGGGCACTGTGAGTGAAATATCCTTAGGCAGTGGTCCCCAACCTTTGTGGTACCAGGGACTAGTTTTGTGGAAGACAATTATTCCACAACTTGGGTGGGGGGGACGGTTTTTGGATGAAACTGTTCTGCCTCAGATCATCAGGCATTAGATTCTCATAAGGAGCATGCAACCTAGATCCCTTGTATGTGCAGTTCATAATAGGGTTCACGCTTCTATGAGAATCTAATGTGGCTGCTGATCTGACAGGAGGTGGAGCTTGCCCATCCCTCACCTCCTGCTGTGCCTCATGGGTATGGGGACCTTTGCCCTTAGAGACTTCTCAGTAGTTTGAGAGACTCAGCAGTTTGAAATGTAAAAATTAGCCAGGCATGGGCTGGGTGTAGCATGGGGTTTGGAGCTTGAATCCTGACTGTCACTTGCTATCTATGTGACTTTGGGCAAATCACTTAACCTCTGACAGATCTGTAGAGTGAAATAAAAATAGTACCAACTTCAGAGGGATATAGTGAGGATCAAATAAATTAAATGATTGATTTCTATTTCTTTTATGAATGATGAATAATGCATAATGCATCTTTAACATTAAAATTTTGCTTCAGTCTTTCTGGTTGAAGATGACTATCACTGACAAAGAAATTAAAGTTAAAATATATCATTCAAAGCTCAAAACTGAATTAAACCTAAAGAAGTTTAAATAATTTTCAGCCAGGTATGGTGGCTCACGCCTGTAATCACAGCACTTTGGGAGGCTGAGGCGGGTGGATCACAGGGTTAGGAGTTCAAGACCAGCCTGGCCAACATGGTGAAACCCCGACTCTACTAAAAGCACAAAAAATAGCCAGGTGTGGTGGCAGGCACCTGCAATCCCAGCAACAGGGAGGCTGAGGCAGGAGCACTGCCTCAAGCCGGGAGGCAGAGGTTGCAGAGAGCCGAGATCGTGTTACTACACTCCAGTATGTGCTGGGTGGTGGGGGAGAATTTCAAGTGACATTGTTTTTAAGTTAGTAGCATTTATATTTCTGAAGTTATTAAAGCCTGAACCTGCATTAAGACTTCTGGGAAAAAAAAAAAAAAAAAAAAAAAAAAAAAAAAGGACTGTTGAGATACCTTGTATGTTGGCATCTTAGATTCTTTCTTCATTTCTACTTGTCTCAGATCAAAAAGTAACACAGAAGAGGAAGTGCCTCATTCAGTTACACTTATAAATTCTTTTTTTTTTTTGACAGGGTCTCACTCTGTTGCCCCAGCTGGAGTACAGTGGCATAATCATGGCTCACGGCAGCCTCAACCTCCCAGTTCAAGTGATCCTACTGCCTCAACCTCCTGAGTGGCTGGGACTACAGGTGCATACCACCATCCCTGGCTAATTTATGTATTTTTTTGTAGAGACGGGTTTCACCATGTTGCCAAGGCTGGTCTCAAACTCCTGGGCTTAAGCTATCTGCCTGCCTCAGTCTCCCAGTGTGTTGGGATTATAGATGAGATCGCTCTTGTCATTCAGGTTGGAGGGCAGTGGCGCAATCTTGGCTCACTGCAACCTCTGCCTCCCAGGTTCAAGGGATTCTCCTGCCTCAGCCTCCTGAGTAGCTGGGACTACAGGTGTATGCCACGATGCCTGGCTAATTTTTCTATTTTTAGTAGCGATGGAGTTTTGCCATGTTGGCCAGCCTGGTCTTGAATTCCTGACCTCAAGCGATCCACCCACCTTGGCCTCACAAAGTCCTGGGATTACAGGCATGAGCCACTGTGCCTGGTCACAAATTATTTATAATTTCAAAAAAAGCAAATTAATTATCTAAGGGGCTTAAGCTAATTTTATATCTAACAACTGCAGAGAGTCAAGTGAACTCCTTTTTTTTTTTTCTGAGATGGAGTCTCACTCTGTTCCCCAGGCTGGAGTACAGTGGTGCAATCTTGGCTCACTGCAACCTCTGCCTCCCAGGTTCAAGTGATTCTCCTGACTCAGCCTCTCAAGTAGCTGGGATTACAGGTACACACCACCACACCTGGCTACTTTTTGTACTTTTTTTTTTTTTTTTTAAGCAGAGATGGGGTTTCTCTATGTTGGCCAGGCTAGTCTTGAACTCCCGACCTCAAGTGATCCACCTGCCTCAGCCTCCCAAAGTGCTGGGATTACAGGTGTGAGCCACTGTCCTCAGCTAAGTGAATTCCTTTTTCATCCTTGTTGATAAGAAGTCAGACTTAGGCCGGGTGTGGTGACTCACGCCGGTAATCCCAGCACTTTGGGAGGCCGAGGCGGGGGGATCACGAGGTCAAGCGATCGAGACCATCCTGGTCAACA